AGGATAAGCCACCACTAGCACTACCACCAGGTGACCCACTCTCCTCTTCCCTTTCCTGTGGCCTCACTAATCCCAGGACTCCTACAATCCGCCCCCCTCCCCACTAACCTGGTGACCTGAGTCCGGGTGTTGAAGTCAAGAGCGCGCATTGACTGCAGGACCTCCACACAGCCCATATACTGAGGGGAGGAAGGGGAGGTAACAGGTCAGCCACTTCCCCCCATCCCTTCACAAAGGGCCCTAGACTTTGCCCTATGTGGTCCCTAAGGGAAATAAAGATGAAGTTCTGCCCACTTCCTGAGGCTACCTCCCACAACCAATGTGAAAGACAACAGGGGATGAGGAGAGAAAGAAAAGCAGACCTCAGGCATTGGGAAGAGAATTTGGTGGGGATAGACAGGCATTGGATGGGACGGAGTGACATCTCCAGAAAGGGGGAGGAGACTGGAGGAGAAAATCAAGAAGTCACTCATTTCAACACTTACTAAGAGCTTCTGCCGTGCTGAGCATTGTGCTGAACATGGCAGGGTGGGGGTGGGGGAGTCGAAAGAAGGATGGGGGCCCAGGCAAAGCTGGAGGGGCTACAGAATCAAAAAAGGGGTGAGAAAGGTTTAAGAAATAGGACACTGAAACAGGGGGTTGGTGGGGAACAGCAGGAAAAAAGAGATTCCAGCAAAGCTGGAGTGAGCAGAAGAACTGGAGGGGGTCTGGGAGGGAGTGGAAGGGAGGATGTTCACTCACCCGAACCAAGTAGGAAACCCCAGGTCCCATGACTTTGTCGTTGGGATGCAGCCAGCCCCGCGTGGGCTTATTGACAAAGCTCCCGTGGCGGGTCCACTCCTCGCCCCCCAGCTGGCCCCCTTCCACCCGAGTCCTGCGCCCGCCGCCTCCACTCAGCTTGTTCATGTCCTGGAGGAGGGGCAGGGAGCCTGAGTCCGGCACGGCTGCCCCTACGATCCCCTCCCCATCTTCGGCTGCCCTTCCTGGCTCCCCCTTAGGCCCCAGGCGCCCCCCAGCCGGGTTGGCCAGCTTCAGGTTGCTCATCCGGGGAAAGAAGGAGCACAGGGTAGTGGGACTATCATCCCCAGGCAGAGGAGGCAGAATGGGCCCCAGGGACGAGGCTGATGGGGAAGGCAGCTCCTCCGGGGGGGTAGACCCTGAAGCCCCCTCCTCCAGCGATGACAGAGACTCATTCCGAAGTGGGTTGTACTTGGGCTTGGGGGGCAGGAGATCCATGGCTGGGGTGAGAGGGGAGCTGCTACCCAGCCCGGCCCCCCTGCCAGTTCAGGCAAGGGGGCCAGGCAGGGGGCATTCCCAGGCCCTTAGCCTGGTCGGACCTCTGTGGCCCAGGAATCACAGGAGTCCCAGGGAGGGAGAGGGACAAGGTGGCTTCCGCTCCCCCAGCTCAGACCCAGACAGTTTGAGGCCCCATCCCCGCCCAGCGTGGAGCCTCTTCTCTGGCTGAGAAGAGAACAGGCTGGACCCAAAGCTGCCTGGCTCCTCCCCAGGGGCGGGGAGCTAAGGGGAAAGACCAATCCCAAGGACAGTGCTGACTCACAGGCTCAGAGGGGCTGAGCCCTCACTGCCGCCCCAACCTAGGACTCTAGCCATGGGTAGGGCTACCCATGCCCCTCTCTCCTGCCCTACACAGCTAGTAATCTGGGCAGGAGTAAAGTGGGGGTGGGAAGGAAGGATGAAGGAGTAGGAAGGAAAGGAGGGAGATAAGAAGAGGTCTGGATCAATCCAAACCGGACACAGGCTGGCCAAAGGGAGCAGGAAGCCAGGGGAGGGCAGGGGGAATGAGGGAGGAAACAGAGGCAGCTGGGGGTGGAAAAGGGAGGGGATGCCAGAGTTCAGCATTTCCCTTCCTGTTCTGGTGGAACACTCAAATTCCTCCAGCCCAGGCCACCCCCCACTACTGCTACATACAGTGGGTGGTGGCCCCAGGGATCCTGGGCCATTAGCATCCTCTACTACAACAGCTGTGGACTGGAGCTAGAGAAATGGGAAAGAGAAGGAAGTGGTCCCAGTGGATGCAGAACAGGGCCAAGAGGAAGGGCAAAGCTGGTGAAGAAAGAATAAAGTCCAGCCTGGGTGGGGCATCCAAGCAAGAGCTGCCAGGCAACAGCAGAGCAAGAGGACATGTTGGTCAAGTCTCATTCTCTACGTATGGCACCTGTGAAACCAAGGAGCCAAGCACTGTTCCGTGCAGGCCTACTTAGCAAAGTAAGCTGTCGAGGGTGAGAATGAGGGCTCAAGGCACTAACTCGAAGATCAACTCCCTGGACCTGCCAGGTATACTCATGCCCCTCCTCTTGCAGTACTCTAAGCCCCAGCATGGAGCACACTTCACACTGGGTGGGGGCGAGGGGTGCGGACAGAATCTGGCTAGAGGAGGTGGGAGAGTGAAACAATTCTCCAAGAGAAATGGGAGCTACGGGCCAGGAAAGGGTAGAGAGGTCAGAAGACAAATCTATGTCAATAAGTACAGGAGAAAGGGGTGCCCAGAGAAGATAGGCTGAGGGTGGACACAAGGAACAATCCCAGGCCCATTCTTTCTACCCACAGCTTCCTGCCACAGGTCTGCTGGAGGAGGCCATAGAGGAAGATGGAAAATGATGAAAAAACAAGTAAAAGATACGTATTATCCCAGGCTTACCCTGGAATTATGTTTAGATTTACTTCAGAGGATTAAAAGAATCTATATGATTATAGTGATTAACAATACTAGCACTTAAAATGTGGTAGATACTGTGCTTAACTCTTTCACCTCCTCTTAGTCCTCATCCCAGGAGAGCTTTGTCACTCCATCCACCACTCTTTTTTTTTTTTTTTTTTTTTTTTGAGACAGGGTCTCTCTCTGACGCCTGGGCTAGAGTGCCATGGTGTCAGCCTAGCTCACAGCAACCTCAAACTCCTGGGCTCAAGCAATCCTCCTGCCTCAGCCTCCTGAGTAGCTAGGACTACAGGCACATGTCACCACACCCGGCTAATTTTTCCTATTTTTAGTAGAGACAGGGTCTCATTCTTGCTCAGGCTCATCTCCAACTCCTGAGCTCAAGCAATCCTCCTGCCTCAGCCTCCCAAAGTGCTAGGATTACAGGCATAAGCCACCATGCCCCTGGCCCATCCACCACTCTTGAGAACAAATTCTATCATTCCATTTCCTAAGGCTCTCAGGCATAGCAAGAATGAGGAAAAGATTCTGCCATAGCCTCACAACTCGCAAAACACACAAACCCACACCAGGATGTCCTCATCTTTAAAGATGACATTCTATGGAAGCCTGCAGTATCTAGAAGCAGGGAAAGACCAACAGATATGGACATTTGGAAGAAAAGAAAGGGGAAGTATGACTCTTTAAATTTGCATAAGGAGAAAGGAGATTGCCTACTGTAACTCCAGGTGATTGAGTGTGGGGGGAAAAGATGTGTGTGGCTTCTCAGCCCAGTTGGGAGGAGGCAAGGGGCGGGAAGTAGCAGGAAATGGCAAAAACCTCAGGAATGTTTCCAGCAGGGGAGGCTGGGCAAACCCGGCCAGGAGGATTGCCCAGACAAGAACTCTGCTTTGGGGGAGGGGAAGAGCCAGAAGTGGGGGCTGAGCAGTCCCTTTAAAAAAAAAAAAAAAAACTAATCCCTACCCCCACTCCAAGCCACTGTTTTCTGGTGGCAGAAAACTTTCGCTCGTGTCACATACACCAACAAATCCATGGCCCAATTCAGCCACGTATAGGTAAGAACTACAGCTGTTTCTGGGGTGGGTTTGGTCCTGGGAAGGGAAACTCAGGGAGTGGGGTTGGGAATCTATGAGCAAATCTCTCTCCTGCTCTCGTGCCAAACCCTAAGTCCTGCGCCCTTCAAGTAGGTCCACCCTCGGAGGAGGGAGAGGGAGAGGAAAACGGCTGCCTCTAATCTCACTCCTCACAGCGAGAGATGGGAACTTTGACTTCCCATCTGGGAGAGCACGAGAGAGCTCGGAAAACCGATCCCAAGGGCCAAAAGAAAGGACAGAAAAATGTAAGCAGGTGGAGTTTCTGGGACTGAAGACACGGCTTTTCAGCTGATGACCTGAGTCCCACAGGGATAAATTTCCTGAGGGGGCGTGGTCCCCTAGGACTCGTGCATCAGATTTCTAGGAAGCGAGCTTTCTGGACAATAAGACGTGGATTACGGAAGGGGCGGGGCTTCTAGAGGGGTGGAGCCCCTAGGGGCGGGGCTTCAACGCATTCGACTCGTTCTTTGAGCAGCAGGGATTTGCCCTTTTGGGAGATAGGCTTTTTGACAGAGAGGAGTTAGCGGAAAACCTTGCGAGGAGGCGGACTTTCGGAGAACTGGAAGGACCAACGAATGGTTTCTTGTAGTAGGGCTTGGAAACATGTCTGGGGGTGGGACTTCCAGAAAGACTGGGCGGCAGGGTGGGGTCGGTGACAATAAATAAAAAACAAGTCGGGGTTCGGGAGCCCCCTGAAGTTGGGAGGTGGGACTTCCGGGGAGGGGGTTTTTTCAGGGGGCGGGACTTATAAATGAAGGCCGGAAGTGGGGTCCCGGGAGAGGGGTTCCGGGGTGGAGGAGTGGGTCACCTAAGGAGAAGAAAAGTCAAGACTCACCAGGTCCTCATGGAGTCTCCGCACCGCACCGCGGGCCGATTTGGTTCCAGATCACGCCACTTAATGTCTAGGTCACTGCTCCAACTTTCTCCCCGGGCCCGACCTCCCTGGAGAAACTTTATTACACTCACTTCCGGCCTCACTAACCCCTGACCCTCTACCTCACGGTCCCTCCTTCACCCGTCCCACTTTCCCGAGCCAGCCAATGGTAGCGCGAGAACGCGCACAGGAGCCGTGATAGCCAATAAGAGGCCTATTTTTGACACAAGCTCGTTCTTGAGAAACGTAAGAGCTGCCCTCCAATAAGGACTCGAGGAGAAGTAAATGTAAGCCAATCGGAGGCTTGAAGGTGGAGCTGTCCCGCCTCCAGCCAAGGGGACCAATAGAAAGTGTGGGCGGCGTGTTTGAAAGCGAGGCCAAAGAGGGTGGGAGAGCGTGCTGCAGGAGTTGTTTGGAGGCTGGCGGCGCGGGGCTGAAGGCCCACCGGCGGAGCGATCATGTCGCACAAGCAAATTTACTATTCGGACAAATACGACGACGAGGAGTTCGAGTACCGGTTAGTGCCGGCACAGGGGCCATAGCGAAGTCGTGAGTCTTGACAATTGAGGACAGCATGAGTTAGTAATGGAGGACTGAGGGAACAAAATTGGCGCATGCGCAGGAGATTAATGGGGGGGGGCGGGGGGATTTTTTTTTTTGAGGACATAAAGCGCATGCGCGAAGGGAGGTGTTCGTAAAACCAGGTGGTTACGAGTTTTGCGTTTGTCCTCAGTTGTGGGGCTGCACCGCTAACCACCCCTCACCTTTGGGGTTTCTGGATCATTCTCTTAAACTTTATTGAGCAAGTTGAACTTGACTTCTGGAGACTGCTGGTATCACAGTAATCCTATATGGCATACTGGAAGAAGGTGGCAAAAGCAGAGCTGGAATTTTCCTCGCGTCCTCAATGGGAGGATAGTTCTGAGAGAGCTTGAGTGTTGCTTATTAATTCGTGGAAAAGAAAAGGCGTGGTTGTCTGGCTTGTTTTAGGAAGGGGAGATTCTTGGAACTGGAATGGGATAAAACTGTCTAGGAGCATTGAGAAAAGACAATACGGGCATAATGCCCTTTAAATATCTATTTACAGAAACAATTAGTGCTCAACAGGTTTCAGGTGTTCTGCTAAAGTGTAAGGATAAGATATGGTCTCTGCTGTTCAAACTTAAAAATCTGTGGAAGATACTGACAGTCGTCAGAAAGTTGATGCATGCTTTGCTAGAGCCACCTACAGAGTGTGATGGGAGCACATAGCACTTGCCAAGGAAGACAGAAGGTTGAGAAAGCTTCCTAGAGGAGACTGCCCAAGATGAGACTCTGAGAAGTAGGAAGGAGAAAGCACCTCTTGACTGAAATCGCTTAGAAGATATTGGATAACCCTCTGCCGAGGATGGTGAAGAAGGAATCCTTGCACTAGATGCAAGGATTTGGATATGATAAATTCTAAGTCCATAATAATTCTAGATTAAAAAATGAAGCCAAAGAATTCTGCAAATGTTGGCATTACACTAATCTGTATTAATTGTAATACTTACGATAACTTTTTGATTTGTGTCTTATCTCCTCCATTGGAGAACATAAAATGGAAACCTGCTTTTCTTGTGTCTCTTCACCCAGCCTAGTTTAGGGATTTGGGCACTTTGGAAAACTTGTTGTGTGTTGACAAATACATAACCATCTTTATGCTAAAACAATCCCAGACCCTTCTTGGACCCAATTAACATTTCCTCAGCTGTTTTCCTCTACATGTGAACTAAACTAACTAAAACTACTGTATATGCTTATAACATATTTGCAAGGCTGCAGAGAAATCATTAGTTTCATCCCCTGGAAGGTGTAACTCTTAGCTTAGTAATGGTATTTTGGTTTAAGAGGGTTTGTCTATATGTTGAAGCCAGATTTTTTTAATTTCTTTTCCAAGACAAGGTCTCACTATGTTGCCTAGATTAGAGTTCAGTGGCTATTCACAGGCACAATCGTAGTGTACTGCAGCTTCAAACTCTGGACTCAAACCATCCTCCTGTAGCCTCAGCCTCTGGAGTAGCTGGCACTACAGGCCACACAGGCATGCACCACTGCCTCCAGATTAGACTTTAAAGGATGTTTTCATTTTATCCTCTGTGGTGACTCTTCCACACAGCACTTCATAATAGGGTTTTCCGCTCCACAAAATAACTTCTCTCCCTTTCTTACCAATCCTGTTCCAAACCTACCTCTAATTATTAACATTATGTGCTCTGTGGGGTTCCCATTATACCGTGAGTGATCAACTAGAAGACTAAGGTCTGTGAAGGCAGAGAAGATACATCAACAGTGCCTGGAATTTAGGTGCTTATTCATTGGAATTATTTATTTGCACTTTTTAATATACCCTTGTGAGAATTTATAGAACTTAGCCTATATTTCTAGATGCTGCTACCCAACAATAAGATTATATAAACTCTCTGACATCAGAAACCAGTTTCTCTTTCCTTTCTTGGCCTTACATAAAGTACTGATAAAAATGCCCCACCTCCCTGTGTTTCTGTTACAGGCATGTCATGTTGCCCAAGGACATAGCCAAGCTGGTCCCTAAAACCCATTTGATGTCTGAATCTGAATGGAGGAATCTTGGCGTTCAGCAGAGTCAAGGATGGGTCCATTATATGATCCATGAACCAGGTCAGTGCAATGGCTAAAAGCAACCATACAGAACTGCTTCACTAAGGGAATGAAGAAATAAGATTGCATAACCCAAAGAAACAGAGGGATGGGGAGTGGTTTACTGGTGCTTTCCCCCACTAGTCATCTAAAAAAACTGGAGTGGCCAAAAATAAGAGTAAGACTAAAGTATCTGAGAAGTTCAGAGGCAACCTGTCACTGAAAAACCTCCTTTAATCTTTACTTCAATCAGAGGGTACTCTTTCTAAGGCCACATATACCCTGGTTATGGCCCCTGCTTCATTCTCCATCAGAAAACAAATTCTTGGATGTGTTCCAAATAAGCAAAAGAAAGTACATTTCCCGATAAGACACCAGACACCCAGCTGCCAGGCAAAACTAATAAAGGACACCCCAGGGCTGTACAAACATGGCAAAAGAACTGATATTAACAATTCTGTATTTGGCAGACAGTCCAGACTTCTGGGTCTGCTTCTAAGGCCATATGCTTAAATCTTTATTTAGTTATAAAGATCTGAGTGGGTGATAGCTGGGAGGTGGTGGTGGAATACACCGTAGGTTGTGCATAGAATGGTGTGAGCTTGTCTCTTAGATTTCACTCCCTCTTTCAGAACCTCACATCTTGCTGTTCCGGCGCCCACTACCCAAGAAGCCAAAGAAATGAAGCTGGCGAGCCACTTTTCAGCCTCAGGCTTTACACAGCTGTCCTTACTTTCTAACATCTTTCTGATAACATTATTATGTTGCCTTCTTGTTTCTCACTTTGATATTTAAAGGATGTTCAATACACTGCTTGAATGTGCTGGTAACTGCTTTACTTCCTGAGTAGAGCCAACCACCACAGCCCAGCCAGATGAGGGCCACAGCCTCAGCCGAGTGTCACCCCAGAAGCCACAGTGTGCTCTGTATCCAGAATACACTTTGCAGATGGAGGGACCATCTGAGAATAAGACCATGGCTGTTACAGGGATTGTATAAACATGCTGTTTTGTTTTTTCCTGCTGGGTGTTATATGTGTGCTGTCTTATGGATTTGTTTCAATAGATTGGAAACTTTCCATTTTATTCAAGAAATCTGTTCCATGTTAAAAGCCTTGATTAAAGAGGAAGTTTTTATAATCTAATTCTGTAATTGTAAGGGTTTTCTCCCCTTCATTCCCCCCCTACATCACATTAAATACCATGGTTCTAATTACATGCCCTTCAGTTTGATACTGAAGCTCAGCTCTTTGCTGATGAGGTTTATTTGAACACTTAGATAACTGATTCTTAATCTACTTTAAGCAGACTAATGTCAAACATCTACTGAAATATATTTCACTCTAACTACTAGCCTGAGATAGAGGTTATACAGGGACAGCTTCATCTCATCAAAACAATGAACTGTTTCCTATAGTCCCAATATTTGAAGGGTAAAGGGAGGAGGCTATCAGCCAGGGCCTGCTTGTGTGCCCCAATTCCTATGGCTTGGGCATACCTGTGACGTATTCAGTGTGCCCATTGGTTGGGGGCTGTTATCAGTGTTTCTCAACTTTTGTTGAACACTGGAATCACCTGGGGAGCTTTACAAGTACCGATGCCTGCCTGAGTCAGTCCTAAAGATTATGGCTTAATTGGTTTGGGCTGTGGACTGGCTGTAGCGATTTTAAGCATTCTTATTTATGCAGGTAGTTACAGCACTAAATTTTGAAAAAACAGGTATAAACTGTAGCTGTTTTAGAAAACATTTCACCAAATAATAGCTTAACCTCTACTTTTAAAAAAATAGTAATACTAAGTAGGGGAGATTTTTATCATTACAAAAGTGGGGTTTTTGCCTTTTGTTTGAGACAGGGTTTTGCTCTGTCGTCCTCGGCTGGAGTGCAGTGGTGCCATCATATCTCACTGCAGCCCTGAACTCCCAGGCTCAAGCGATTCTCCTGCCTCAGCCTCTCGAGCAGCTGGGACTACAGGCACGTGCCACCATGCCTGGGTAATTTATTTATCTTGTCGAAATGGAGTCTTCTCCCTATGTTACCTAGTCTGGTTGAACTCCTGACATCAAGTGATCCTACCACCTAAGACTCCCAAAGTGCTGGAATTACAGGTGTGAGCCACCATGCCCGGCAAGAGCTGATATTTTTAATTGGTAGAAACAGGGCTTATCACTTAAAGAATGACTCTACTAGAATGACTCTACTAGAAGCCTGACTCTACTATGCACTGCAGTGTTTTGTGGTTTTGTGGCACCCTTTCACCTTTCTGAGCCTGTTCCCCATCTGTAAAATGGGCGTGTTATCTATCAGGGTTTTTTAAAGTAAAATTAGGCCAGGTTCAGTAGTCCTTAAACCATGAATTTTAGACCCTTAATACCACAGACCAGCGCCAGCAGCATCACATGGGAGCTGGTTAAATGCAGATCTCAGGCCAGCCAAAGCTACTGAATCAGAATCTGCATATTACAGATGATCCCTAGATGATAAGTATAAAAATTAAAGTTTACAAAGCACTTTTAGACCAAAGGCAACTGAAATGGGAGTAAGCCAGGATGATGTGAGAACCCAAAGTGGACACACAAGGCACTCCCTACTTACTGCCTCATTTGTACCTAACAAGACCAATAATTGGTAGAAGTGATGTTTGACCAAACCACCATCTGGAGCAAGGTGGGGCAAGAGAGGCTTTTGGATTTTGTCAACAGGCAATGTTGATAATCATTCTTGGTGTTCTTCCAACTTCCTTCTACTAGAAAATAAAATCCTTTCTGACTCCAGTACCAGTCCTTAGTCTACAATTAGTCATGGTTAATGAAAACAGCATATGCATACAAGTGTTTGAATACAGAACGGAGGTTAGGGTCAAGCCTCCCTTTACCTCCAAGCACTAGAAGGGAGCACCCCAAGTCCTTACAGCATCTCCAATCACAGCTCCTTTCGCACCCTAAAGCCCCTAATCCCTGCCCGCGCCCTGAGCTAAGGCCCGGCCCCCACATTTCCGGGTGAGGGGCGACCACGTGGTTGTTGCCTGTAACAACCCAGCACTGCTCCCGCCCTGTGGCTAAAGCCTGAGAGCGATAGTCAATTACGCCAGTAAGATCCTTGGGGAGTCTAAGCGACAGCCAAAATGACCAATCAATATGAGGTAGGTGTGAGTAAGGCGGGACTTTCGGTACGGAAGCTGCCCCAGGACATGAGGAAAGGAACCAGGGACAGACCCGGTGAAGGGACAAAACAGGCAGGTGAGAACCTGGAAGTGCTCAATAATCTGAAGCTTGTCGGGAAGAGAGGGGTTTCTGGGCTAGAAAGGGTGCAGAAACCTGCAGGATAAGGAGACGGGGTTCTGGTCGTGGGTGGAAAGAGAGAACGCATTTAAAGGAGTCAAGGCCCTGTATAAGGTAGACATTTAAAGGGGCAGATGCCCCGCACAAAAGAGACATTTAAAGGTGCAGATGCCCAAGATAGAGCAGATTCTTGAAGACACCGGCTCGGCAGACAGAAGACATTTAAAGTGGTATGTTCTCGGGAGAGCAGGACATTTTTAAGGAGGCTAGGGCCAAACTTAGAAGACATTTAAGGGGGCATGGATTGGGGTTTAAGAATACGTTTATTCAAAAGGCCGGAATAAAGGAGTCGCTCGTCAAGGATCTGGTTAGAGAAGACTAAGGGTCTTCCTCTAAGGAGGAACGTGCACTCCTGCTTTCCCCTGTTGTCCTTTCTGGCTCCTCCAGGTTCCCTCGACCCCGGATCCCCTGTTCCCAGGCTATGGCCCCCAGTGCCCTGTAGACCTGGCGGGACCCCGGTGCTTACGTCCCCTAATTGGGGGTCTGGGTGGCTACTGGAGGGCCTTGCGGAAGGGCAGAGAAGGCAGGAGCATGGCATCTAGGGCCTCTGAACTTCCCCCGGGGCGCAGCGTGACGGCTGGCATCATCATTGTTGGAGATGAGATCCTCAAGGTGTGTCTGGGACAGAAGACGGGGAGGGCGAGGCGTTATCCTGTCCTTCAGGGCCTACTCCGCATCCTGTGGAGGGAGGTGAAACAGGGTGGGAGCCCCATTGCCGCAGGAGGGTCTTGGAGTGAGTCCAACATATTGGAGGGAAAGTGGCCCTCTTTCTTTCAATTATTCTGTCGAAAAACTGGTAGCAAAGTCCCTACAATTTGCCAAGCAGTATAGTAGAGGCAGAGGGGCTACTGAACAATGACACGAAGCCCAGCAAGTAGAGGAGGTACAGGTGCATATATTGTATTTTTAAGTGTTATGTCCAGCCTATTTGGAAATGATTCAAGGCCCTCAGCAGAGTGAACAAGTTAGCTAGAAGGAATGTGCTAGAAGGGAGAAATCCCTTCCGAATTGTCAAGAAAGTCTTACTAGAGGACATTGAAGGCATCGGGTTTGTAATAGTAATATTGACTTCTATATATATATATATATATATATATATATATATATATACACACATATATATATATATATTTTTTTTTTTTTTTTTTTTGAGATGGAGTCTCGCTCTGTTGCCTCAGGTAGAGTGGCATCATCATAGCTCACTGCAACCTCAAACTCCTGGGCTCCAACAATCCTTGTGTCTCAGCCTCCAAGTAGCTGGGACTACAGGCGCCTGCCACGATGCCCAGCTAATTTTTCTATTTTTAGTAGAGACAGGGGCTTGCTCTTGCTCTTGCTCAGGCTGGTCTTGAACTCCTGAGCTCAAGTGATCCTCTCGCCTCAGCCTCCCAGAGTGCTAGGATTACAGGTGTGAGTGAGCCACCAAGCCTGGCCAGACTCCTATTTTTTGAGTGCTTATTAAGGCCTGGCAGTGTGCTTATTACATCACATATGTAATTTTACTAATCCTCACAACAACTCCATGGGTTAGTACTTTTATTAAAAGTCTTAATTAATTATGAAACTGAGGGTCAGAGAGGTTGAGAAACCTGCCCAAGGTCACATACCTAGGAAATGGTAGAGATGAGATTCCAGCCTGATTCTCCCTTACTCCAGAACATGGACTCTTAACCACTAAACCTTCTGTAGAGAAGTAGAAGGAAATGGGGTTGGAAAAGAAGATTGGGTATACACCACAGACAGCCTCAAATACCCTACAAAGCAATTTGAACTTTATTCTGTATACAGCTGGGAACAACAAATGGCTTCTGAGCCCAAAAGTGATGCAATCATTGTGACACATTAGGAAGGCTACTCAGGAGACAGAGCAGAACACTGTGGCTGGAGGCTGGGATTCTGGCCAGGAGGCTGTCGCCATTGCCCAGGTGAAAAGTGCCAAGGACCTGCTTGGTGGCAGTGGGACAGAGAGAAGAGAGCAGATGGGGTGACATTTCAGAAGTAGAGTTGACAGGATGAAGGGCCTGACTGGCTGTGAATAGTGCCTGAGGATGCCATTGACCAAAGTGACAACAGCCAGGGATACAGTAAGACTGCCCAACAAGCACTTGGAGTCAAGGGACTGAAACCACCAGAGTTAATAAGGAAGTGGACAAGTTGTCAACATAGAATTGATAATTGAATCCATAAATGTAAGTGAGGTGAGGGTCAAAGTGCAGAGAAGGAGGCCCAAGGTGGGTCACCATATCCCTGACTCCATTCAAATGAAGTTTCCCACTCCTGCGCCCAGTGCAGGCTCCTTGGCAGCCCAAGGTCGTGTCCTCCAAAGAGCAGAGCACCCCATCATCAGGCAGATGTGACTGTCATTTGCTCCCCCTCTGCCCTTCATTCCCGCAGCATTGACAGTCTCATCCTACCCCCTACCCCCAACCCCCAGGGACACACTCAGGACACCAACACCTACTTTTTGTGCCGGACACTGCGCTCCCTAGGGGTCCAGGTTTGCCGAGTTTCTGTCGTACCTGATGAGGTAGCCACCATTGCAGCTGAGGTCACCTCTTTCTCCAGCCGCTTCACCCATGTCCTCACAGCAGGGGGCATCGGCCCCACGCACGATGATGTGACCTTTGAGGCAGTGGCAAAGGCCTTTGGGGATGAGCTGAAGCCACACCCTGAGCTGGAAGCAGCCACGAAAGCCCTAGGAGGGGAGGGCTTGGAGAAGCTGTCGCTGGTGCCCTCCTCTGCCCGCCTGCATTATGGCACAGATCCTCGCACTGGCCGCCCCTTCAGATTCCCACTGGTCTCTGTCCGAAACGTCTACCTCTTCCCGGGCATTCCGGAGCTGCTGCAGAGAGTGCTGGAGGGGCTGAAGGGACTGTTCCAAAACACAGCTGTTCAGTTCCACTCCAGGGAGCTGTATGTGGCTGCCGATGAGGCCTCTATCGCCCCCATCCTGGCTGAGGCCCAGACCTACTTTGGGCGTAGGCTTAGCCTGGGTTCCTACCCTGACTGGGGCAGCAACTACTATCAGGTGAAGCTGACTCTAGACTCGGAGGAAGAAGGGCCTCTGGAGGAATGCCTGGCCTACCTGACTGCCCATCTGCCCCAGGGATCACTGGTCCCCTACATGCCCGACGCCGTGGAGCAGGCCAGTGAGGCTGTATACAAACTTGCTGAATCAGGTAGGTGCCCACTGGGAGAGGGGCAGCATGCACCAGGCCATTGGTCTCAGTCCTGCAGGGGCTGCGGGGGCATCCCACAGGTCCAGAAGTGGGTAGAAGATAGCTATTATTGATTGGTTCATTATTCCAATAAATACTGATTGAGTACCTACTTTACCATCACTGTGCTAGGTGTTGAGAATATGGCTTAATAGGAGAACATATGTCCTGCTTTTATGGACCAGTGGTTTAACAAGAGAGGCAGACATTAAACAGGTGCTCCTACATGGAGTGATGAAGAGAGTGAGCCCCCATAGCAGGGAGCCCAGCCTTGATCTGGGGTGAGAGAAGGCTTCTCTGGCCAAGTGATGTATAAGCTGAGTGATAAGGAGGATTTGTTCAGACCAGGAGGTGGGCAAGAGCAAACAGTATGAAAGAGGACCAGGACCCCCCACCCCCCACATCTCCCCACATCCCCTGCTCCAGAGGAAAGACACCGAGGCCAAAGTCGGTGAGGTGTGGCAGGCCCTGCAGAGCCTAGCAGGCAGCATGAAGGAGTTTGGACTTTATCTTGGGAACACTGGGAATATATGGAAGGGTTTTAAGCAAGGGCAACATGGCCCCTACTCCCCTTTGATGACCACATGTATCTATCTGATGCCCTCTTCCCTGCCTGCATGGCAGGGTCTTCTCTGGGGAAAAAGGTGGCAAGTGCCCTACAGACCATTGAGACTGCCCTGGCTCGATACAGCCTCACCCAGCTTTGTGTGGGCTTCAACGGGGGCAAGGACTGCACCGCCCTCCTGCACCTTTTCCACGCAGCTGTGCAGAGGTGAGCCTGCACGGAGCGATGAAGGGAGTGAGGCAAGACCCCAGAGGTACCTGAGCTGGCCCATTCTCCAGTTCCCCACCCCAGAGGAGGGAGAAAGGGAGTATGTGGGTGGAGTTTAACGAAGGGAGCCATGGTGACCTCTCAGTTCCATTCCCCCAGCATATTTATTGAGCATCTGACACGTGCCTGGCCCTGAGCATGGATGTGCAGGCCACCATCCCTGACCACAGGGAGGTCACAGTCCTGTTGGGGAGGTGAGATTTACATACCTGAAACAGAGATGAGTGCTTAGATTTGGGAGGTGAGAGTTCAGAGCGGGCTTCCTAGAGGAGTGGGTCTGATGGATGGAAAGGGCAAGGAAAGGGGAAAAGGGGAGTATCTGTCCCTGGGGCCGAAGAGAATAGTGAGCTTTCTGGAGAGCCAGTTCCTTGTCCATGCTGGCAAGCCTGTGGATTCTTCCCCCCCCTCCCCAGGAAATTCCCTGATGTTCCAAAACCCCTCCAGATCCTGTATATCCGCAGCATCTCCCCTTTCCCTGAGCTGGAGCAGTTTCTACAGGACACCATCAAGAGGTACTGGGGCCTGGAGGTTTGGGCTCCAAAAGGGGCTTGGCAGGGCCCATGCCTGACCCCCACTTCTGTTCCTTCCTAAGATATAATCTGCAAGTGTTGGAGGCGGAGGGCAACATGAAGCAGGCTCTGGGTGAGCTGCAGGCACAGCACCCCCAGCTGGAGGCTGTGCTGATGGGCACCCGCCGGACAGACCCCTACTCCTGTAGCCTCTGCCCTTTCAGTCCCACCGACCCAGGCTGGCCTTCATTCATGCGCATCAACCCGCTGCTGGTAATGGGGAAGAGGATTTCTTGCCTTCAGTCCCACGTGCCTGTCAATCATTGCACCCTGGCTCCCCCAGGGGTGGGGGTAGGGGGAATGTTAGAGCCTGTGCTTGGATGAGGGGCCCCGTCATCCAAGGGAGGCAGTGCTATTTGTTGATTCATCCTTTTGACCAATATTTATTGAGCCCTAATTCAGTGGCAGGCATTGTGCTTTCTACTGTATGCTGTCCAATATGATAGCCACAAACCATGTATTTATACTTTAACTAATTAAATGAAATACAAATTACTAAAAACCACTGAATTATGTACTTTAAAAGGATGAGTTTTATATATGGCATGTGAATTATCTCGGTTTTTTGTTGTTTTTTTTTTAAATATTGAGATGGGGTTTCACTATGTTACCCAGGCTGGTCTCAAACTCCTGGGCTCAAACAACCTTCCCACCTCAGCCTCCTGAGTAGCTGGGACTACAGGTGCATGCCACCATACTTGGCTCGATTTTAAAAATTAAATACAATTAAAAATTCATCTCCCATTATCTAGGCATTTAAAAAAAATTTCAGTTCTTCAGTGGTGCTAGCAACATTTCATGTGACCACCATATTAGCACAGACGTAGAACATTTCCATCATCACAGAAAGTTCACTGGACAGCACTGGCTTAGACAGACACGGGGCCCTCCCTGTCCTCCTTGAGCTTTCACTCCAGTGGAGGTGGGGAATGGAGAGGGGAGAGGATGAAGGCCTTCTCTTCCTCATTGCTTAGCCTACAGGGAGCACGATACACCAGAGAGTCCAATAGCAAGCCCTCCCTCAGAGGTTAAGGGAGCAGAAGAGCCTTGGATAGGCCCCTTCCCAGGATGGCAGGGGGTAGGTGTGGGAGAGGGGAGCATTCGTGACTATTCTATGACTCTGACCTCCTAGGACTGGACCTACAGAGACATCTGGGACTTTCTGCGTCAGCTCTTTGTCCCATACTGTATCCTGTATGACCGAGGGTAAGCGTGTTAGAGGAAGAGAACGGGTATGGGGAGGACAAGAGGGTGCTGGGATAGGGAGAGCCACCACGAGAGCCCATCCCACCACACACTTGCCCACCATTGTCCCTACTCTAGGTACACATCACTGGGGAGTCAGGAGAACACAGTGCGGAACCCAGCCCTGAAGCGCCTGAGCCCAGGAGGACGGCTCACCTACCAGCCAGCCTACCTACTGGAGAATGAAGATGAGGAGCGGAACTCCCGCACGTGACCTCCCACCCCAGTAGGGAGGGAAGGAGACTGTCCTAAGGTGTAACTGTCAATAAACTGTGCCTCTCACTGTGCCTTTTGCTCTGGCTCTGTCTTCCGGCTCAGAAGTGGGCCATACGCTGCCAGCTCTGAGCTAGCTGTGCTCACTTGGAGAGGCCTGGGTAGGGCAGAACAGGCTAGAAAGGAGCGCTCATTGATGATTCTCAGTGTCAGCCTCAGCAGGAGCCCACTAGAGGGCAGAAGCGGGAGTTGTGCCAACCACTGGGAAAGGGGCAGCCAGGCAGGGCACCCCCCCCTTCCCCCGGCCCCCCAGCTGGAGGAGGGGAAGCTGAGTTGGCCTGGCTGTGGAGGATGAAAGATGGAGTGGCCAAGCCCTCCCCCTACTAACCCGAGCCCTCATCCCTGTCTATAGGGGCTGACTCAGCCCGTTCCCAGGCCTAGAACCTTCCCTTTGCTAGACCCTGGGGCCTTTGTCTTTGTAGTCATGAGGCCTGAGGGGGGTGGGGACAGTGTTGATAAAAGGCACCAAAGGCAGCTCCCACACCCTCCCTCAGAACTGCTGCCCACATGCAGCCCCGGACACAGCCCCTAGCCCAAGCCCTACCCTTCTCCCTTGGAGGGGCCCTGCGAGACACTGGGCTCCGGCTGCCTGTCTTTAAGATGGGCACAGGGTGGGAGGGCTTGCAGCAGACCCTGAAGGAAGTCGCCTACATCCTCCTCTGCTGCTGGTGTATCAAGGAACTGCTGGATTAATGGCAACAGGAACTGCCTCCTCTACCCACTGGCACCATGGCTGGCATCACTCAGGTGGGCAGGGTAGGGCAAACAGATAGGAGGCATGGATGCAGCTTCTGCAGCAGAACTTGGCTCTCAACTTCCCATTCTCTTCTTTAGCACCCAGTCAACCCCCATCAAGACTCCTGGGGCCAGCTGTACTTGACCAAGGATGGGCCACAAGAGTGAAGAGTGAAGTGTGGATCCTGCTTTGAGTTGTGCCATCTGTCAGATCTGCCTCATCTCTGAGCCTCTGTTCCCAGCCCCCACCTCAGGCGGACCTCTGGTGGGCAGGAGCTTGGCCTGCTGGCCAGGACCCCAATAAGATGGCAGCAGGACCTGGTCTTCCTCCAAGCCTGGCACAGTGAGCCCACCAGTCCAGATGGTTGATCTTACCATACTCTCTTAGTACCAGAAATGGTACACTCCCTAAGATATCTGTTTGAGAATCGCTGAATTTACATGCAATAAATAGGCCTTGAGGCCAAAATTTCTCAATGTTTATAAGGGAATTAGAAAAAGCACTGGAAGGGTCTTGGAACCAGGGTGCAGACCAAGGAGGGAAGGAGCTTGTCCTGGATAGAATTGGGATTGAAAACTGGGTTTTCTGACACTGGTGACTGGGTGGGGAGGGTGGAGGGCAAAAAGTCCAGGTTCCTCCTAACCTGTGGGTAGGGAGAGGTCCAGCTTGGGTGAGGTCTTCCAATGTGAGGCCCGGGGTGTTAGGATGGAACCCAAATGACCCAGCCCTTTCCCAAATAGAAGATCAGGTCTAGGCAGCTCCCTGCCTCTGAGGATCTTGGGGAAAGCACGAAGCTGATACTGGTCCCCAGCTCATGGAGGAAGTAGAGCACCATGAGCTACAAGAGCTCTCAGCTCACATACAAAGTTAAAAGAGAAAGGCACCTTGTCCCTCAGGCTTATCACAGCACAGGCCTATCAGGACCTAACCATCCCGACTGAGCAGAACTGATTCCTCACTTTGCCTTGGTAGCCACCACTACCTGCTTTCCCTGAATTACCCCAGTGGTGTGTACCCACCAGCTGTGTACATCGTCTTGCTCGTGCTTACTGATGTTTGCAGCCACAGCCCCCAAGCCTCAGAGCCAGCCACAGGACTTGTTCAGCATTATCCTGGGGTCCCCATCTAGCATTCCCTGACCCCTCTTGGGGCCCAGTTATTGACCTCCAACCCTTTCTCACCGGAGCACTGGCCTGGAGGTGATGTATGGGGCCCTCTCCCACCCTCCCTGAGACCAGCTCTTCCTTAGCCTTCTTCTTAGTTAACTCCTTTTTCTCTAGGTTCTTTTTGTAAAGTAACATATGCCTAAAGTAAAGAATTCTAATAGCAAAAAGTAAGTCTCCACAACTTTCCTCAACCCTCCAGCTTTCCTCCTTGGAGGTAACCATGATTATCAGTTTCTTGGAGAGCATCCTAGAGATGGTCTGTGCATAGAATGCATCTTCATTCATTCATGCAGCAAATACTGAGTGTGTACTATATGCCAGTCTGGGTGCTTTGAATACAACAGTGAACAAAATAGGTCTCCGTAGTTATGGAGCTTACAGTCTAGTGCATGGAGACAGAAGATAAACTATAAACATTTTGTTTAAGTATACAGATGTTATTAGGTGATAGGTAGCCTAGAAAAAAGAAAAAGTCGAGTGGGGGCAGGTCATGGAGAGCCTAAATAAGAGCCTGAGCTTTTATGCTGAGTGAAATGAGGAACTATTGCAGGATGTTGAGCATGAAATGATTTTTTTATTTAAAAGGCTCACACTGGCTGCTGTGTTGAGAATAAACTTTAGGGGAGCAAGGGTAGAATATGAGAGACCCATTAGGAGGGAATGGGCACAATATCCACCAGACATGTTGGTGGCTCAGGCCATGCTTGTAGATACAGCAGTAGTGAGAAGTGGCTGGACTCTGGACATACTTATTCTTCCCAGTTGGTTAACATACTCTACACGCTGCTCTGTACCTTGAACAGAATTCAGGATTCCACGTTAGTACATTTAGAGCCTGTCCATTCTTTTTTACAGCAGCTTAGTACTCTATAGTACTCTGATTTGAGATTATTTCTTATCCCTGGCAGCTCAGTGCTCCCTCTTTAGGCATCCACAAAAGCCAGGTCAGTGCTCTTGCCTGGTCCCTTCAGAGCCCTGACACTTGCCTTGGGCATAGCAGTAAGGGGTAAGGTCCTGAAGCCAACCAGGGAGAGCTTAGTGATCCAGGTAGTCAAAAATTCACCTTCCCATCTGAATGTGGGGCTCCTCCCTCCCCCTCATAGCCCGCACCCTGCTTGGCCACCTCCAGCCCTTCCCTGATTCAGGCCCTGGCATACCGCCTTCTTTTCTTTTCTTAGGCCCCACTCCCACCAGGCTGGGCAGCGCCTGGAGGTGGATCCTGAGCCTGAGGTCTGGGCACAAGGGCCTTTGCCAGGGGAGGGGATTTCTGGCAAAGACCACTGGGGAAGTGGTGGGTGGAGGAAGGCAGAGCCCAGGGCTGTGGCCTGTGGTGAGATGGGTGGTGGAGAGCTGGAGGGGGCAGAGACTGCCGGTGGCCCAAGGAAAGTATCAGAGTGGGAAAGAGAGCCTTGACAGTAGAAAGTAAGTAGAAAGACAGTAGAAAGACTGAGGAGAGGGATGAGAACAACGAAAACCTCATACACCATTCTGAGAGCCCTTTCCACACTACAGAGTGCTTTGAGCCTCACAAAAGGCTGCTTCAAAAGTAGGCAGGACAAATAATTATCCCACGTTAAAGTGAAGGAAACAGGCCCGGAGAGGTGAAGTGATGTGTCCAAGGTCATACACACAGCACACTGCAATGCAGTATTTAGTGAACCCAGATTTTCAGATCTCGAATTCAGCGTTTCTCCTGATAGCCTGCCTTCCTCTTCCGAGCTGGTGCAGGGATAGTGGCCTAAAGTGGGTTGGGAGGCAAAGCCACAAAAGCAAAAGTGTACAGGTACCACTCCCTCATTCTTCATCCACCCATTCCATGCTGTGCCACTTCCCACCTCTATTCTAAGCTCCCCTTGTCCTTGGTTTCTTAGCTCATTTTGGGGTCCCAGCTACAGCCTCTTCACTTAATCCACACAGGCCAGACCTTTTCTGGCCCACAGCTCCCCACTCCTCTGGACGGGGGAACAAATGTGATGGTTTCCCCACAGGTTTCTCTCCCCAGCTAGAGCAACTCAGGTTTTGAGTGTCCAAACTACTTCCTCAGGAGCTCATGTGGGGTTGGAGAGGCAGCGAAGGGGGAGCAGGGTGCCAAGATAGAGAGGGATGGGTAAGACCTCACCTACCCCTTGGTGCCCCGGGGCCCTCTAGTGGCCACAAAAGGTAGGGACTGGGTGGGGTAGGAATGGAGGAGACAAGGTGGACGAGCTGAGTGACGACCCCCAAGTACGACAGCAAGGCCTGATATCCAGGATTCCTGATGGATTTCATCCGTCATAGGACCCTCGATGGCATGCGAGAAGCAGGTGGAGGAGAGGAGTTAAGACTAAGGGGTCTGAGAAGCTGTGTGCAATAAATAAACTGGATATCACAGGAATGCTCTCAGGAGGGTCCCACGTTTTCCCAGCAACACGAAGAAGCGGGCGAAAAGTGAGTGTGGCAATCGTTTCACTGAAGGCGCCAGAGCGCCGACCCCCACGGGCGTAGGCTCTTATTTGCCTCCGATTTGCATCTAGCTTGCATGTGAGTTATTTCCCCTTCAATTGACACAATTCCCCACCGCCTTTCTCAGTTACTTTCAGACTCCAGAGTCTTAGCCAGCCTCGGATTGTACCCATTCCTCCAGATAATCTCGGGCCCCTCAGTACCTTTCCATCATACGCCTTCAGCCCTCTACCTACCCCAGCTTCAAAGCCCCGACCCTAAACTAACCTAGCGGGCTGGGTGCGAGGAGCCGAGAGACCTGCGCCGCCTGGCGGCTGGTCAGAAGGAGGCTGAGGACGAGGGGCTCTGTTTCGCCTTCTCTGGGACGTGGAGTTTTGGAAAATGTTCCCCCGAGCTTCCAGAAGCTAAATTTACCTCCTCCGGCCCTGGGGTGGGGGGGCGCAGAGATCCCGGCGGCGATTAGCGATACGCCGCAGCCGGCTCCAGCCCAGAGGCCCGGAATAGGCGCTAAGTTATAAATAGTGCCACCCGCAGGTGTGGGGGGAGTCGACGGGAGGGGGTACCCCTGGCGGCCACGGCCCCTTCAGGTGGGTTGGGCGGTCGCGGTGGGGCGCTGGGGGGCGGCGGGCGTGGGGGGCCGCTGCGGTCTGAGCGCCCCCAGCGGTTTCCT